AAAGAAGAAGGACGATACGCCTCCGCTGCAGGTCCCTGATCTAGCCTATATTGAGTTTGCGAAGGCCCCGACGGGTGATATGCGTGGTGTTGTGATGAGCCACCGGACTATCATGCACCAGATGGCATGCCTGAGTGCGATCATTTCTACGGTTCCTACCGAATCAAGCGCCAGGCAGTATGGCACTAAGGGAGAGACTATTATCAGTTACCTTGATCCAAGACAAGGAATTGGTATGATCATAGCCATTCTCCTCACCGTTTACGGTGGCCACACAACCGTTTGGCACGAGGACCGAGCGGTAGAAACACCTGGCTTATATGCTCATCTCATCACTAAGTACAAGGCATCAGTCATGGCAACCGATTACTCGGGCTTGAAGATCGCCACCTACAACTACCAGCAAGATCCGATGTCGACAAGACATTTCAAGAAGAACTCAGAGCCTAATTTCAGCAGTGTTAAACTCTGTCTCATTGATACCCTTACTCTCGACCCTGAGTTCCATGAAATCCTGGCAGACAGATGGCTTCGTCCAATGAGGAACCCAAGGGCTAGAGAAATTGTGGCTCCAATGCTCTGCTTGCCAGAACATGGAGGTATGGTCATTAGTATGCGTGATTGGCTCGGAGGTGAAGAGCGAATGGGATGTGCCTTGACCCATGAAATGGACCCAGCTAGCCGTGACGATTCTAAGAAAGAAGACGAGAGCCTTACCAAGTCCGAGACTAAAACTGGCTTCGGCAGCAGTCTTCTGGGTGGTGGATCACGAGTTTCTACGATCAAGCAGAGCCCCAAGAACGAGCTCAGTGAAGTCCTTTTAGACAAAGAAGCCCTGAAGAGCAATGAAGTGGTTGTGCTGGCCATGGGCGAGGACGCACGAAAGTACGCCAGCAGTATGCCGCATGCTGTACGCGTTGGCGCTTTCGGCTACCCAATTCCCGACGCAACTCTCGCCGTCGTTGATCCGGAGACCAATCTCCTTTGTACGCCAAATGTTGTTGGAGAGATTTGGGTTGATTCACCCTCTCTTTCTGGTGGCTTCTGGGCATTGCCGAAACACACAGAGGCCATATTCCATGCTCGACCCTACAAATTCGAAGAGCCTAACCCGACCCCGATACTTGTGGAACCTGAATTTTTGCGCACTGGTCTGCTCGGATGTGTGATTGAGGGTAGAATTTTCGTACTTGGTCTCTACGAGGATCGTCTCCGCCAGAAGGTCGAGTGGGTTGAGCACGGCCAAGAGATTGTCGAACATCGATACTTCTTTGTTCAGCATTTAACTGTTAGCATTCTTAAGAAGGTGCCGAAAATTCATGATTGCACTGCGTTTGATGTGTTTGTCAATGAAGAACATCTTCCGGTTATTGTTTTGGAGTCCTACTCGGCCTCGACGGCGCCAACAGCTTCTGGTGGCCCACCGAGACAGCTCGACTCGGTCCTCCTTGATTCACTCGCTGACAGGTGTATGGAGGTATTGTACCAAGAGCATCATCTGCGGGTGTACTGTGTTCTACTTACAGCTCCGAACTCTCTGCCGCGTGTCACGAAGAACGGCAGACAAGAGGTTGGTAACATGCTCTGTCGCAAAGATTTCGAGTCCGGTATGCTGCAAGCCGTTCATGTCAAATTTGGAGTCGAACGATCAGTGATGAATCTTCCCGTCGGCGTTGATCCCGAGGGTGGGATCTGGTCCCCTACTGCTCTGGCATCAAGACAAGACATGCTTTCCTACCAGGAAAAGCAATACTCAGGTGTGGATTATCGCGATGTGGTGATGGATGACCGCACTTCCACCCCATTGAACAACTTCAACACAATTGTCGACCTTCTTCAATGGCGAGTCTCCCGCCAAGCCGAAGAACTGGCGTACTGCTCTATCGATGGCCGCGGAAAGGAAGGAAAGGGCGTCACTTGGAAGAAGTTTGACCTGAAGGTCTCTGCAGTGGCGACTTACCTCAAGAACAAGGTGAAGGTACGACCAGGAGATCATCTCGTGTTGATGTACACCCACTCGGAGGAGTACGTCTATGCCGTTCACGCTTGTCTGTGCTTGGGCGCCGTTGTCATCCCGATGGCACCTATCGATCAAAATCGTCTTTCAGAGGATGCCCCTGCATTCTTGCACATCATCAGCGACTTCAACATCAAGGCCATCATTGTCAATACCGAGGTCGACCATGTCATGAGGCAAAAGCTTGTGTCACAGCATATCAAGCAGTCCGCCCAAGTTCTTCGCATTGGTGTTCCCGCTATCTACAATACCACAAAGCCCTCGAAGCAGTCGCACGGATGTCGCGAGCTCGGCTACACTATGAAGGATACTTGGCTCCAGGGCAACCTGCCCGCTCTAGTCTGGACTTATTGGACCCCAGATCAGCGAAGAATTTCGGTCAACATTTCCCATGAAACCATCATGGGCATGTGTAAAGTTCAAAAAGAAACCTGCCAAATGACAAGCTCGAGGCCAGTGCTTGGAAGTGTCCGAAGTACCCTGGGTCTCGGATTCCTCCACACCTGCCTGATGGGCATTTTCGTCGGTAAGTTTGCTGGTTTCTATGAATGTTTCCACTCTAACCTGTTATTCAGGTGCGCCCACATATCTTGTTTCGCCAGTCGACTTCGCTCAAAATCCAATGACTCTCTTCGTAACACTTGCTCGGTACAAGATCAAGGACACTTACGCCACCAGCCAGATGCTGGACTATGCGATGAGTGCTATGGCTGGAAAAGGCTTCCAGCTTCAAGAACTGAAGAACCTCATGATTTCCGCAGAGGGCCGACCTAGAACGGATCTCTGTACGTGTCATCGCCGTCACGGCCAGGAAGAGAAGCTAATCCGATTACACAGATGGAAAGGTCCGCCTACATTTTGCCAACGCCAGCTTGGACCGTACCTCGATCAACGTCATTTACTCGCACGTTCTCAACCCGATGGTTACCACAAGATCATACATGTGCATTGAGCCGATCGAGCTATGGCTCGACTTGCGAAGCCTCCGTCAAGGTCTTATTTACCCCGTGGACCCTGATGCCGACCCTACTGCGCTTTTGCTGCAGGATTCGGGCATGGTACCAGTCAACACACAGATTGCGATCGTGAACCCCGAAACCTGCACTCTTGCGCACGTTGGAGAGTACGGTGAGATCTGGGTCCAGTCCGACGCCTGCGCTCAGGGATTCTACAAATCAAAGCAAGACTTTGATGCCGAGCGTTTGAATGGTAGAGTCGCAGACGGCGATCCCAGCGTACCTTATGTCCGTACTGGTGATCTCGGTTTCCTTCACACCGTTACTCGGCCAATCGGTCCTGGTGGTCAACCAGTTGATATGCAAGTACTATTCCTCCTTGGTAGCATCGGCGAGACTTTCGAGGTCAACGGACTCAACCACTTCCCTATGGACATTGAGAACTCCGTAGAGAGTTGCCACCGCAACATCGTGAATGGAGGATGGTAAGTCCATAACATTCTACTCAGTCTAGACTTAGAGAGGCTAACATGACATGTTCAGTGCTATCTTCCAAGCCGGTGGCTTGGTTGTTGTCGTTGTTGAGGTTACTCGAAAGGCCTATCTAGCCGCCCTTGTCCCCGTGATTGTTGATGCTATCCTCATGGAGCACCAGGTTGTTGTGGATATTGTCGCATTCGTCTCCCACGGCGACTTCCCCCGCTCTCGTCTGGGCGAGAAGCAGCGTGGAAAGGTTCTCGCCTCATGGGTGACCCGGAAGCTGCGAACCATTGCTCAGTTCAGCATTCGCGACCTGGAGGGTGACAGCCCATTTGCAGACATGCCTCAGCATCGTATGAGCAGAGTTTCCAAGCCTGGAAGCACCATGGGCGCCAGCACCCGACAGTCTACAATGAATCCGGACATCGACGCAGGTGTCCCTCGCTCTCCAGCTGGGGTGACGCCGGATGAGGCCGGTCATTCTGCCGGTAGTTATCACACCGACAGAGCTGGATCTATGCCGCATGAACTGGAGAGTGCCACTGATAATAGTGTTGCGGCCACTCCTGTTCCGAAGCCCAGCCCCGCTGTGCCTCATATCAAGGAGCCACAATCTGCCACAATCGTTACTGAGTATGACGATCAGCACTACGACACATTGAATTCCACGGCGGGTGCCTCCAACGCGGACCGTGATTTCCGGTTCAGCTTTGATATGGCCGACAACCCCGTCCAGTCTCAATCGTATGGATATCCTGGCGGTGAACAGCCCTCGGCGGGACAAGAGTCGCTTCCTAACCAACAGGGATGGGACCACAACAGTCAGCCTGTTGGCACAGCCCATGCTAACCCACCCCGTCCAAGCACACAGGACAGTGGGACGATCGACGATTGGCCCCAAGAAGCTCTCATGTACCAGTCGGCACTAGGTGCAGAAGACGGGCATGACTTCCACCGTACGGGCAGCAACAATGCACCCAATCAGCAACTGCGAGGCTTAAACTTGGATTAAGTGCATACATTGTACAGATTTGAAATGATTTGCCAGAGAAACTAACTGGGACGTGTTTGCTTGTTCAGATGATTTTTCTCAGCATTGCGTCTCCTTTATCCGGTTTACCCCCAATACCTCTATGTTTTCGATTTGTACATACCCAGTATATCTTTTTTTTTGTTCTAATGTAGATAAATTTGATTTGCAAATATGTTTTTATTTCCATTATACGCCGTGAATAAACCGACCCACCCTAGCACCATCGATGTCCACAAGCTCGCAATCGCCGATCTATTTTATACTCCACGTCTGTTGTATATTGATTGACTTCCCCCATAATTTCCAACCTATCACCGATATGCCGATCATGTACGTTGTACACGCATACGTTATGTACATAGTATACTCGGATGATCGCTGGCTATGTGCAATTCCATGGAGAAATCACACAACAGCTCTTTTGTCACTTGCCATGACGCTGGGTTGGAGAAGCTGAAGACCTCAAGGTATATAGCTTCGGGTCTCAACTTCAACAAATAGCATCACTTTCGCCATGCACTTACTGAGTTTGCTACTATTGACGACTTTGGCTGTTGCCAAGCAGCCTAATATTCTCTTCATTTTAACAGATGATCAGGGTAAATATGTGGGTGGTTTAGAACACATGCCCAAGCTGCAGGTGAGTCTATTCCCATTCTATCCAAGCCCTACTTGCGCCACCTCAATCTAACACTCCAAGGAAACCCTCGTTCAACAAGGAACAAGCTACTCTAAACACTTCTGCTCAATCGCACTATGCTGTCCCTCCCGAGCCAACCTCTGGACCGGCCGCATGCCGCACAACACCAACGTAACAGATGTCGGCCTTCCCTACGGCGGCTATCCAAAAGTCGTCTCAGCCGGATGGAACGATAACTACCTCCCACTCTGGATGCAAGAAGCAGGCTACAACACATACTACGTGGGCAAGATGTGGAACGCCCACACAGAAGACAACTACAACGATCCCTACGTGCGAGGATTCAACGGCTCCGACTTCCTCCTAGATCCATACACGTATCGATACTGGTACGCGCGGATGACGCGCAACGGGGCAGTGCCGGTCAAGTACGACGGGAAGTACTCGACGGACGTGATCGGAGAAAAAGCAGAAGATTTCATCGACGAGGCAGTTAAACACGAACAGCCGTGGATGCTGACAGTTGCACCAAACGCGCCGCACTCGAATGGGTCTCATGATTCTTCACGGAACGCGAACTGGTTCGGTGAGCCGGAGTTTGCGCCGCGACATGCGGATTTGTTTAAGGATATGCGGGCGCCGCGTGATGAGAGCTTTAATACGCTGATTGAGGATGCAGTTAGCTGGGTGCAGAATGTGCCCGAGTTGAATCAGACGCATATTGATTATATTGATGAGTTCCAACGGTGTCGGCTGCGGGCTTTGCGGGCTGTTGATGAGATGATTGGGAAGCTGGTTGAGAAGTTGGAGAAAGTTGGAGAATTGGATAATACTTATATCTTCTTTTCGACAGATAATGGGTATCATCTGGGTCAGCATCGGATGCAGCCTGGCAAGAACTGTGGTTATGGTGAGTTGATCTTGATTGCTCGGGTATACTTAGGGTTGTGTTCATATATGCTAACTCTGATAGAAACCGATATCAACATCCCTCTCATCATCCGAGGCCCTGGTATCGATAAGAATCAGACTCTGGATACTATCACTTCTCATACGGATCTAGCTCCTACTTTCTTAAATATAGCAGGGGCGACTCGAGATGGATTGGATGGCAAGAAGATTCCTACTACCATTGCCGCCAGCACGGCGGACAATAGGACCGAGCATGTTGCCATTGAGTACTGGGGACTGGTGAGTAATTCACGTAGAGCATCTCAATATACTCAGCTCATAATGAACATAGGCTGTACCAGAAGGAATCTACGGGTATGCCAGCGACAAGCTCGGCCAAACACATAACAGCTACCAGAAAAACACATACAAGGGTATTCGACTAGTTGCCGATGACTATAGTCTATACTATGCAGTATGGTGCACAAACGAGAAGGAATTCTTCGATCTGAAGGTAGGCCAACCCCCTCTATCCTACAGTCTGTCCAAGCCCTGAACCCCTAAAACAGAGCGACCCCCATCAAACCGTGAACCTAGGAACGCACCCAGCCAAACACACCTACAGGATTGCAAATCGCGAGCTTCCACAAATAATAGCGAGGCTAGACGCATTGATGCTTGTGCTCAAATCTTGTGAAGGCGATGCATGTCGATACCCCTGGAAGCAGCTGCATCCAGCCGGCAAAGTGAACAGTCTTGCCGATGCGCTGGATTTCGGCTTCGATACCTTTTACGAGAATCAGCCGAAGGTTTCGTTCTCGTCTTGTCAGAGTGGGTATATTATTTCCGCGGAGGGGCCACAGAAGTTCAATGCCTATGAGGCCAATTCGAAGAGGGGATGGGGATTGGATGGGTTGTTTGGGTGGTGAGCTTCGATGTCTCTCATGAGTATATTCAGCCAAGTTGATGCTATATCTGAGAAGTAATGGTTGAAGAAAACATATTGATTCGAATTGATCATGGTATTCACATTATTGCTATCACTTTTAGACTTGTGCTTTTTTTAAAAAAAAATTTATTTACATATTTTCAGCCTTTCTCGTCAGCTGGTCGATGTTGACCTTGGGGCTCAGACCGCCGTTAGAATTGGCAGCCTCAGAACCAGACAGCTGCTCGAGAGCCTGGATGTCCTCGTTGGTGAGGGTGTTGGAGCGGATGGGACGGAAAGGAGCAGGAGAGCCGGCGCGGGAGGCGAGGAACTAAACGTATGTTAGTGGTGGAATGCAGAAAAATCAGTGACTAAATCTTACCGAACTGGCAGCGCTGAGCAGCGCAATCAGAGAGGCCTGGACCACATCCTGGTGGATACCAACACCCCACACCTGTTGATTGCTGCCGGCTGCTGTGCATTGGATGTATGTAGCAGCCTTGGTGTCACGACCGCGACCAATGGAGTGTTCCTTGTAGTCGCGGACGTCGAGATCGATACCGAGGGAGGAAAGCGCGGTGGCCAGAGAGGAGATAGCACCTGGGCCAACACCGGTAATGGCATGCTGAACGTTGTCGATCTCGATGATACCAGTGAAGCGACGCTTGAGGTTCTTGGTGTTGAGGGCCTTGCCGGGCTCGGGGGGAGCAGGGGACTGCGAACGGTCTGTTGTGATGCTGTAGTCGACAAGGTTGAAGCGGGGGTTGGACTTGAGGTGATAGGCCTCCTCAAAGAGGCTGACGATCTCGGTAGGCTTCAGCTCCCGGCTGACAGCCTCGGTCTTCACCTGCACGATCTTGCTGAACTCGACCTGCAGAGCGCGGGGGAGATCCAGCTCCAGGCTTCGCAGGATAATCCAGGCGGCACCACCCTTGCCACTCTGGGAGTTGACGCGGATAACTGCCTCGTAGGTACGGCCGATATCTTGAGGGTCAAGAGGCAGGTAGGGGACTTGCCATTCAGTTTCCTCGTCAGCACCACCGCCATCTTCGCGCAGCTTGAAGCCCTTTTTGATTGCATCTTGGTGACTGAATTTCAAAACAGGTTAGCAAAAGAAAATTTAATCCAGTTTGGAACAGGAAAACAAACCTTCCGGAGAAAGCGCACACCACGAGCTGACCACCATAGGGAGTACGCTCGTGGACGGGGATCTTGTTGCTCTCCTCTACCACCTTGATGACAGAGTTGATGTCGGAGAAGTCGACGCCTGGGGAGACACCTTGTGTGTACAGGTTCAGGGCGAGAGTGACCAGGTCCACGTTTCCGGTACGTTCGCCGTTGCCGAACAGAGTACCTTCTACACGCTGGGCACCAGCCATCTGTGCAAGTTCAGCTGCGGCAACAGCGCAACCACGATCGTTATGCGGGTGGACTGAAACAACGAACTTCTCGCGCTCAGTCATGTTTGTGCAGAAGTACTCAATCTGATCAGCAAAGACGTTGGGGGTGGCCATCTCTACCGTGGCGGGCAGGTTGAAGATGATGGGATTCTCCTCCGTCGGCCCCCAGGCAGCCTTGACAGCCTGGCAGACCTGCACAGCGAACTCGGGCTCGGTATCCGAGAAAGTCTCGGGAGAGAACTCAAATTGCCAATCTGTGCCAGCCTGAGAGGGGTCATCCTTGGTGATGGAGCGGGCGTATTTTGTGCATTTGACAGCCAGTTCCAGACTCTGTTGTTGGTCCATGTTGAAGATGATCCGACGGAAACAGGGGCTCGTTGCGAGGTAGATGTGGAGGATAGCCTTCTTGGCGCCCTTCAGGGAATCGACTGTGCGACGGATGAGATCCTCACGGCAGGGAGCGAGGACCTGCAGGGCGACATCATCAGGAGTGAGACCGGGCTCTTCGACCAGACGGCGGGTAAAGTCGAAATCCGTTTGGGATGCGGACGGGAATGACACTTCGATTTCCTTATAGCCGATCTCCACGAGCATCTTGAAGAAACGGTATTTTTGCTCGCCATCCTACAGGAAAAATCCAGTCAGTTTGAGAAACAGCATCGAACGGTCATCATACCATACCATTGGATCGGGTAGAGACTGGTTGCCATCACGCAGATCAGTTGCCAGCCAGCGAGGAGGCTTATCAATAACTTTGTCGGGCCATTGGCGGTTTGGCACGTTCAGCGGCTTATAAGCCTTATACTTTTTTGAGGGATCCTTGAGCCTTCAAAGAAATTAGTATGTAGAAACACCAAATTGGAGTCAAACAGTCATTTTCAACATACATCGGCATGGTGTTGGCGGGGTACCGCGGGGGGGCAAAAGTGGATAAGAGACGATAAAAGGGAGATTGACGGTATAGTTAAGCCAAGCAGGATCCAAATTGATTTGACTCAAAGCAAGAACTGGCTTTCAAAATATGGACACAGTGATTCCTTTATAGAAGAGAAAAGGAGACCAATGAAGAATGGGAAATATGCTGTGACTCAAATGGGCCCGTCAATGACGCCGAGTTTTCGGCGCCGACAGCGGAGTCACGTGATATCTACTTTGCTGAGTTTTAGGACGTTGGATGGAAAATTGGCTTGATGATGAGGCTAAGATGCTGCTGGTAGATCTGTGGCTGTCGGTTTATATCATTTATATTCCCTTTACTTTCACTTTTTAGCTATTTGCTACGAATATCTACCATCCTCGCCTCCATAACGGATCCCGAACATCGGAGGTATTGGTGCCTGAGGCATCCTATCCCGCGGATAGCCGCAGGTATTGGTTAGTCTCGATCAACCGGTGTGCAATAGAACTTGGATTCGGGAAAAGATCGGTCTAATATACAATAATAGGAGTAAAGGAAGAAAAGTGTAGTCAAACACGCTCAAAATAACAACACACATAGTGAGACAACATATAAAGTTACACAAAGTTCTTTTCGAGTTCGACCAAGAGCGGATGAACCTCCTCCACGCTAAGCTTAACAGCTCGGGGATTCTGTAGCGCATCATCACCTAGTCTGGCTTTGATCAGCGCCTGCAACGTCTGGGCGTCTTTGTCTGTCTTGCTCTGCATCTGCCCAGTGACATCAACAGTGATGCTACCATCGGCCAGGTCCCGGGATCCGAGAATGAAGATGAGGTTATACTTCATCTGTTTGGCGCGCTTGATCTTCTTGCTCAGAGTCTGTGCGCTGGTATCAACGTCAACCAAGAATGTAGAGTCGACGGAGGACAGTGGACGGGGCGACTCGGCGGTACCACCATTCACCAATGCGCGGAAACCAGCGAACTTGGCTGCCGCTTCCTGAGCCTGGCGCACAACAGCATCGTCTTGGTTGACTGTCAAGACAATGGCCTGGCGCGGAGAAAGCCAGAATGGCCAGTGACCACCGTGCTCTTCAATCAGCAACGCCAAAAACCGCTCCAGTGAGCCGAAGATGGCGCGGTGAATCAAAACTGGAGTTGCAACCCCAGGTGTGGCTGGATTGTAGTCCGGCTCACCTTCTGCAACTTGATACTCCAGCTCAAATCGCTGTGGTAGGTTCATGTCCAATTGAATAGTCGAGAGCTGGTGGTACTTTCCAGCTTTATCCTGGAGCTGGATGTCGATCTTGGGGCCGTAGAACGCACCGTCGCCCTCATTCAGCGCCCATTCGCGTCCGGTGCTATCCAGAGCCTCACGCAATTGCGTCTCGGCATTATCCCACATTTCCAATGTCCCAATGTAATCTTTTTCGGGTCGAGTCGACAAAACTAATCGATACGGACCGAGTCCGAAGGTCTTCATAGCCATATCCACAAATCCCAGGGCGGATGTGATCTCCGACTTGATCTGCTGCGGGCGACTGAATATGTGACCATCATCCTGATGGAAGCGGCGCACGCGCGTCAGACCAGTCAGTGATCCCGACACTTCGTTGCGGTGCAGCGGGCTGAAGTCTGCATAGCGCACCGGCATGTCGCGGTAGGAGTGATTCTGCGACTTGAAGAGGAGACAATGGCCGGGACAGTTCATTGGCTTCAGTCCGTAGGACTCATCTTCTCCTACTTCGCCTTCTGTCTCGCCGCTAGCTCCTCGGCCGGTCACCTCATACATATCATCCTTGTAGTTCTGCCAGTGGCCCGATATCTCCCAGAGCGACTTTTTGTAAATGGTCGGGGTTAAGACTTCCCGGAAGCCGTATTGTAGGTACTGGGTGCGGAGGAAGGAGATGAGTTTGTTGACAACATGTGTGCCATTTGGAAGGAACAGAGGAGATCCAGGGCTGTAGACTGAAGATGTGAAGAGCTCCTGGGAGGTTCCAAGAGCTCGATGGTCGGTGGGAGGTATCGTTGGAGCTTCGGGTTTGTCAGAACACGAGCAATGACGGATCGCTGTGTATAAAAACGGTCGCGACCGTGCAAATTGCCATGGCAGAGATCTAACGCCAAGCGTTAGGGACGGTCTCAGACGAAGCAGTGAGCGCATGGTTGAAGATTCCAAGTCCTCGGCCGCCGCGGTTTCTCCGATCTTTCTTCCCCACCGCTTTACGCGTGCAACGGTCTGCTTAAGCCAGTCGCATTCAAAACATTCAAAACACCCCGAAATATTAACTACAGAACATATCAAAATATTACACACAGGGCACCATGACTTGCTGAGATGTTTACGCCATGTCTACAGAACAGCCTCGTATCCCAGATCGCCCGGCTCTTGGCGAATCCTGGGTCATAGCATCAACTGCTTCTCTTGAAGAAAAAGACCCCACCAAAACCCCAAATAGCCGGCATGAAAGCAAAGCAACCACAAAGACAGCCGACCCGGCATCAGAGTCACTGGCATCCTCCTCGTCATCATCATGGACCATATCAGGCCCAGAGCTCATCATGCCTTCTATCTGCGAAACGCCTAATTCAGAAGGGTCATGGGTGGAATATATACGGACTCCGAAGCAGCAAGGCTCAGGAAGCATGAGAAAACGACGCAAAGTTTCCACGCCGAACGGTGCAAAGCAGCGAGAGCAGGGCCGGACCGGCGCTAAAGCTGGAGATGCAGATGCTGGTTCATCTGCAGAGACGACCGCAGAAGCAGGCCTAGTTGTGAAATCCAAGTCCATATTTCGTGGCCATACTGCCCTCGTCCGCAAAGCAATCAATACAGTCTTGATCGCCATCATATTGCACCTGCTAGTTCTACCCGAGGTAGTCTACCAAGCCGAAGACCTCTGCCATATCTCAAGCATCAAGACACTCTACCCCGACAGCTGCATCACCCGCCCGACATACCCACCACGTAGCGCCTTCCACCCATCGGCAATACCCCCAAAAGAAATACTCGCAAACTCCCAGCGCCAACTGGAATCCATATTCGACACCGCCCTTGAAACCCTCACACCTCTATCCGCAATCCTCAAACAAAGCGAAAGCATGCTAGCCGACCTAGAATCTCAGCTAAAATCAACCTTCCCAGACGCTCGCAACGCGCTGGACCTCGAATTCACCGGCAGCAACCAAGCCGTACAAACAGCAGTATGGGAGTTTGACTCGCTACGCGCAGACCTGCGCTCAGCAATCGACAGTCTCCTCGCCTCACGGCCAGCAACCGAAATAACCGGCACCGCAGCTCTAGACACTCGACTCGCGATCCAAATGCGACGACGCGAAGAGTACCTAGACCGACTGCGCTCGCAAATCCGCAGCAAAGCAGACTCCCTCGGCACGCGATTCACAACGTTAGATGACCACCTCGAAGCAGTGGACGGGATCATAGCACGTGAAGAACGGCGGAGTCCAACATTTCACAAGTACGGATCTTCATCTGACGATAGCAGCAGCGACCGGCTATATTCCGTGCTCGACTCGCTCCCGCTAGGACCGTTCGGGGCATATTTGTTTCGGGGGCGATCGACAGGATATGCAGATTCCAATCCGGTTGCATTGACGGAGTCGTCATCGTCTGCCGTGCTCTCCACTACCTCCACTGAACCCACACACACCCCCCGGCCCGCAGCCACTCTTGCCCTGCTTCGAGTCGCGGCCACGCACCATCGTCCCGTTGCTGACTCGGTGTTGCGGTTATCACGTCAATTGAGGGATGTGCAACGTGCGGCTGGGGGCCCCACTTGGTGATTTAAGGTCTCCACAGGGGGCTAGGGGCAGAAGATCGGATTTCCAGGGTCCGAGAGTTGATTGATGAATACCATAGTTACCGTAGTTACAGTCTTTGGGGAGTTGATGTTTGGTCTACTTTATTTTTATTTTTTATTTTTACCTGGGTATTTCTATCCGAGAAGATGAGATGAGATGGATGCAATAATGAGTCACGACAGTATTTTACCATTCTTACGAAAACATACACAATTTAAACCCACAAGTTATATCCAAACGCATAACAATACATCGTCATACTCCGTACATACGGAGCACATGTAGTCTGGAATGTGAGGGTAAATATCGGCTCCATGAGGCATCCATGGTTCGGCTTTACAATCATCACCCGATCAACCAATCCTACTGTAAACATTTCATTACAATTCATTATCAGCCAATCTAGACCCTGACCCATCACAATTAACTCTTAATCCACGGTTCACAGTAAATCGATTTTTCGGTGTGCTTGATGTATTATTCTTGGCTGGTGGATTATAGTGGAGGTGCATATGTAACCTGCCAAAACTTGGAAAGACCAATATGCATATGACCCATATGAATGCAATGTGGTTAAAGCGCATGTAGGATAGATAGGGTTTGGGATATACGAACACAATAGCGATGGAAAGCGAAACCTACAGCAACAAAAAACCAGCGGTGAAGAGATCTAGATTGTAGGCTACAATGGAGACAATGGAGATAATTTGAAATGTGTACTCCGTAGAGTCAATTGACTTAATATTATTGCATATTTGCTCGATGGCAAAGGTATGTACGCCGATAGATACATGACGTCCCCCCAAAGAAAATCGCCATGTTACCAGAGTATGCCAATCAGCATATCCGGGCAACCTAAAGAATAGATTGCAGGCCTCTGAGCACCAAAGGACAAAAGGGGAAAAATGGTACAGTCCGAAAAAAAAAAGAACAAACATCGCATCAACCATTACCATACCCGGTCCAGCGGAGTATCCTCTTTCGAGGCGCGTTTCCATTAATAATGCATCACAAAATCATAGCGCTTCAAAAGGGACATTTACAGCTGGAGCAGAGCAGTCACCAGACCTAGGAGGGAGACAGGTCCCATGTAGCTCGCAACAACGGAGGCAGCTGCATTGAAGCTAGGGCTGGCGCTGGCGCTGGCACTGGTGGACGAGCCAGATCCAGAGCCCGAGGGGGAGCTGGAACTGGTGCTGGGGCCGGAGCTAGATCCAGAGCTGGAGCTAGCATCCGAGCTGGAACCGGAGCCAGAGCTGCTAGATCCGCTGGGGGAGGCACCAGAGCTGGAGGCACTGGCAGCACTGGAGGTAGAAGCGGCAGTGGACTCGGCAGACGAGGAGCTGGAGGTCTTGGTAGACAGGGTGGTGGCAGCGCTGGAAGTGCTCTTCTCGGTGGTGGTAGAAGGAGACTCGGTGGTGGAAGAGGAAGCCTCGGAAGAGCTGGTGGCAGCGTCGATGGTGGTGCTGCGCGAGCTCACGGCGTTGGAGCCGGTGAACTTGATGCTGTTGCCTGAGCCAGACTTGTCGGACCAAGTGTAAGACTCGGCGGGGTTGGCGTTCTTAACGCTGATGCTCTTGATGTACATGGAGTAAGGGCCCTTGGAGTAGTCGGTGGGACCACCAGCCCACTCAATGGTACCCTCGGGGTTGGTGGGAGCACCACCGGCCCAGATACCAACGTGGATGTTCATAGGGGTCTGGGGGAAGCGATCACCTCCCTGGGCATCCTTGTAGTTAAGAGTGCGGATATTGGCACCATCAATCAACCAGCTGATGGTGTCCTTGCTCCACTGGATGGTGTAGGTGTGGAAAGTATCATGGGGGGTAGTGACAGGGACCCAAGTCTCACGGTCATAGGTCGAGGTATCGCCCTTTCCGAAGTAGTTGGTCTCAATGGTGTCGGTCTTTGTGCCCAATGCTTCCTATTTTTCAGTTAGTGATTATTCTCTAGTCCGAATTTGAGACATCACGTACCCAGTCAACCTCATCCAGGTCATCAGATTGCAAAAAGGCGGAGCTGACAATGCCTTGGCCAGGAGAAGTCTTCATCTCAATGGACAATTCACCGTAGAAGAAGTAGAAGTCGCTGACAAGGGTAGGAGCATCTCCTTCCTTGTTGATAGTGAACTCAGCACCATTGGGGCCGGTGGGAACTTTGCCGCCACTGATCTTCCACTGGTCAAGGGAATCACCCTTGGTGAAGTCAAAGTGCAGGTTGGACTCGGTCGAACCCTTGTTCGCAGGGCATGACTCTTTCGTTGGGTTGCAGTCAGAGTAAGTCTGAGCTGAAACGAGAGGGGCAGCCACGGCAAGAGCCGCAGCAGCAAGCTTCATGAAAGACGGCATTATGGCGAATATGATACACGTCAAGAGAAGTGAAAGCGAAAATGTAAACAAGAAGAGGGAATTCGAGGGAGACTCTATTAAATATATCCAATGTAACGTGGAAAGTGGAAACGAGAGTGGATGTTTTGAATGGCAAGAACGACTGGGAAGGCACCACTTTATCTACACTTCTCCACACCCCAAATATATTACACTACCCACTAGAACTAAAAAAAAAAAGGGAGGCGGGAGTGACCTGAACATCTATTGAAATGATTGGACATCGGGTGACAAGGCCGGAAACGCTGAGACAAAAAGGTAAGACGTCTCCAGACTATCCAGTCAAAGTGGATCCCTTGATCCTCCATTGGGGGTAAAAGTGGAGTTTATAGCTTATGGGCGCCCTTGGATTTATGGGCTGTGAGACAAGGATGAGGCTGGAGATAACCACGGGTGACACTGTATGCATACATACATACATACAATATAATGTACTTGTAGTCCTCCCTATGCAAACGATTAAATGCCTACCTAGTAAGGGCTAAAGTACCTTGAAGAAGATATGATTGCGGTTTGATCAGCCGATCTGATCATATGTCACATAGAGATGAGCCCAGCGTACTTTTGATCACATTATACCGTTACATCAAGGGTCCATAAAAGAAAATTCAATAGAATAAAGACAATACGTACCTGTATAAATAATACAGAAATACTCCGTACGTGAATCCAACATGGCAAGTTAGCGATCGCCAAGGTTTTTGCCTTGTGGGATTTTTTTTCTTTTCTTTTTCTTTTTTTCCCCCCTCGTTTTTATATTACAATCTCAACCATGAGTTACATATGTACATAGTTCAACCCATCTTGTATCACTAGAAATCCCCAATTATTTTTTAGATTAATTCCTTTCATCACAACATCCATGCAATGAAACACAGGCCATAGTCCTAGTAGTCTACAGTAGGGCATTATCCTCAATGGTTAATATGTAGGCCTTGTCTCGTATATGTTCTACTTGGGTATATCGTCAGTATCGCTTAAGACTGCCCAAACCCAAACTAATAATAACTCAAGTTTCTAGGTATAAGCCCACGGGCGGGTCTCTCCCATCAGATGACTCAGGAACTAGCGGCCTGTGCCTGAACTGGCCTGTGCCTGAACTAATGCCGATACCACACCTCGGGCTGAGTGAGACCTTGTCACTTATAATAGTCCACTACCTGAATCAGTGTAGAACAGTATGTAGGACTCTATTAGTCTCATAGGTACAGGGAACTCCGTACTGCGTACTGATAGAATTATTGTCTTTCGGGTTTAAATTTTCATTGTTTTCATTATATCTCAAGGGTTTCCCCTAGTAACTTCCCCTCTCTCATGCAAGGCTATGCAAGGGGTTTATTTGGGCTTTTTGAAACGCCTAATTTATACTCATTATTTATACATCCATGTGTCCATATCTGTAAAAATGTTACATGTTCACCCACGTGATTCTTTTACTGCTATGGGGCTGCAGGAACGTTATTCGGTCCATCCAATCACCCATTAGAATTTTTACCCCGAGTAAAAATAGTATACTCACTTACATCCATGGATGCTAGATTATGCTTCCAAGGTTACCAAAGTGAGTAAAAAAAGATGAGGCGTTCGGATTCGGTAAAGAATGTGTTCCCCGGAAAAATAGCCTCCCACTAAACTACTAATCCAACAATAGCCCTCCAGGGCTCTCCTAGGAAACTCATATAGTCACCTCAGTGGGCCCATTCAACTCAATCCGGACCTTCTTTGTAACACTTTGCCTCCCAACATGCCCAAGCAGCGTGACGGCCTCAATAACCACATTGGGGCGATATCCGAACTGGCCCAAGATCCTAAGTTTGCCATCCCGGTACTTGAACTCAATCTCTGCCGCACTATCCGGCCGAATCGACTCGCCATCATCAATGTACAGCTCACCCTCCGCGGACCCATCAGCACCAGGCGCAATGAGAATCTCAAAGCCACGCTTGCGCAGATCCTTGGTAGTCTTAGCACTATCCGTACGGAGGGGGATGATACCCCCACCACGGATATGAATCGGGATATCCGCAATACCAAGATCGCTGATCGTCTTCACAGATCCATCACCCTGCACGGCAGCACCAGTAAACCAATCGTAGAAGATATCATCGGGGAAATAAGCGTTGACAGAGGTAGCACCTTCTTCCGAAACAGGCGAGACGAGAATAGAATCACCATAGAAGAACTGGAGCTCATTGCCAAAGGTCTCGCTATCCTCAGGGTAGACGTAGAAAAGCGGCTGAAGGAACGGAGTCCCCGTCAAGGTCTGGCGGTGGAAAGAAGTATAGAGATAATCGAGAAGACGGTATCGGATATCGATGATCTTCTTCGCGGCTTTCGTCACAGTAGGCCAGCGATAGAATTCCTGCGGCACGGTGCCGAACTCGTTGTGATTCCGATAGAACGGGTAGAAGCCGCCGAGCATTGCCCAGCGTGCGCACAGCTCTTCCGTCGTGTTTCCACCGAACCCGCAGACATCGCTGCCAACCATTGGGATCTGGAAAATCGAGGCGAAGGCTAGCATCTGCGGGATGGACACACGGTATTTATCCCATTGGCTGAAATTGTCGCCGAGCCTGTTGGGGAAGGGGTTAGCACAGGTGTACCTGATATGGTTCGGGGGGTTTTGTGCGATCTTACCAATGGCCGACCTGGGATCCTGCTCCGGCGAAGGTGCTACGCGTGATGATCAAGGGTCGCACATGGGGTCGGCGCTTCAACATTGCCTCACGGGAAGCCTTGCTCATCACTAGAGTTCGCATTAGAAATAGTCCGGTAATGAACAACAGGGTGCTTACTGGTTCCGTAGAGATTGTGCGTGTCATACTCAGCGTAACCCTCGCCGGCATGGATGATGTCGGTATCAATAGTCTTATTGCTAATCGAGCCAGCCTCGTTTGCTATCTGATAAGGCGGATTAATAAGGTCTCGGCCAGACAAGCCGGCCTTCTTTCCCTTTCCATGGCGGTCTCGTTTCTCGCTGACGCTACGTGCCTCAATGACAGCCTGGCCTCTCTTCACATGGTACGACGAAGAAGCCCCAGATGAAGAATACCCGGGCTGGAAATCAGCCGGGAAACCGGGGATATGGCGTGGATTCGATCGGACTGGTGGAGGTGTTGGGGGTAGGTTATTCTCCTTGGCGTACTTTGCCGGGTCCTTGCAGGGGTACGGGCAGAAGTTGGAAGCTTCATTCATGTCGATCCATAGACCGTCGATGTCGACGCCATCTTCTGCGCTGAAGAATCGCTTGAATTCTGAGTTCCAGTATTTCTGCGTGTCGTGGTTGAACCAGTCTGGGAAGACGGTTAGGCCGGGCCAGACGGCGCCTAGAGATATTATATTAGAAAAAGGTGAGTATTATGCTTCTTTTGGTAAGCTTACCTTCGTAGAGTTTGTTCTGTTCGTTGTCACGGTACAGGAAGACGCCCTGGTCATGACCTCGGTTAAAAGCACCATTATCTGGTAACACACTCACCGTTAGAGCGGAATTGAGGGGAGAACATGTAGTTAGAGCACTTACCAGAGTTACTGACGGCCGGGTCGACCATGACAATATAGTGCTGGTCTTGCTTGTGAAGATACGAAACCAACTCGCGCATCTTGTCGACAGGGAATCGCTCATCGTCAAGAGTAAATACCCGTCGACCACTCATGTAGTCAATGTCGGTCCACATAGTCTCGAGTGGGATTCCAGCACGGCTGTAGTTGTAAACTACTTCGGCGACATCGAAGACATCCTGGTAGCCGTATCGGCAGTTGTGGTACTAGAATGCCAATTAGACTATGATTGCAAAATTCCTGGAAATAACATACTCCGAAAGTCCAGTAGCTTTGCATGACAGGAAGACCAACGACCTCGGAGTACTGCTCGCTCACTTCCTTGGGGGTTGGACCGGCCATGAAGTAGAAGTCTAAGACTCCGCCAAGGGTGTTGTACTCGAGGTACTGTTTGCCATCGGCAGTCTTATCGATTTTGATGTCCATGCCGTTCGAGTTCAAAAAGAAGACCCCATGCGTGCCCTTCTCTCCACGGTGATCAATGTAAATAGGATGAGTACCGTAAAGGTTTGAGTTGGAGGGGATGCTATATGCATCACGGTTCCAGATAGTGCGGGTATAGTTAGTGGTGGGCAGACGCAGCGAATCACTATGTTCGCCCAGACCGTACAGATTGGGATCATCAGGAAGCCAAGTGCGCAACTTCAAGTACTGAGACTGGAAGATGATGTTAGTGTCAGAGGTGTCGAAGAGCACTTCCTTCCCACGCAGAACTTTGAATGAGAAAGGATTCTCCTGGACGTCGAAGCTAAGGGCAGAGTTCTTTTGATTTTTTCTTGCGCTCTCCGGTCTAGGGAGAACAGATTCTGGTACTTGATAGACCTCCTCATCTGCATCGTAGATCATGACATGAAGGCGGGTTTCTAGTACAATAATGAGTATACATACATCTATACTTGGGGATGTCAGGGATATTGTAGCATACCGGTTTGTGCCTCTACCAGGAGCTTCAAATTTGGAAGATCCGTGCCATAGGTGTTACAGGCTTCTCCAGCAAGATCGAGGTCAGCAGTCAATCTCTGGCCTAACTGTTTCACATTGGACGCCTTATAACCAGGACAACTGTCGATCTTGAAAGTCGATCCCAAGACAGTGGCCACTAGGGGAGCCAATAGAAATAATGTGCTTTTCATGTTTGACAGAAGCACAAACACCGCATAGACACACAGCAGAATATGAAGGTGGTAGATTGATAAGAGGGCTAGTAGACCCTTTTAAATGCAGGATGTGCAGGCCTAGATTCAAATGAGGGGTGATACGTGCATCAAGGGGATGCTAGAGAAAGATGACCACATGCTTACTTTGCATAACATTTGACAATTCTCTCTGTCACATCTCCGAATGTTGTGCGAGAATTGTCCCAAACCTGCTTTGTGGGAAACGGGGCATTTATCAGGTTCGTG